ATGCATTAAATTGATCAAAAGTGACATTAAAGACTATTGCATTTGTAACAAAAATTTTTTATTTAAAATAAATGCTGTTCTTTTTTTACTTTCTGTTCATCAAATAATCCTGAAAAATAAAGAAAAAAGATTATATATATTATATATATTAAGTAGCACAACTGTTTTCAGAATTGATTATAAGAAGAAATGTTTCTAAATTATCATGTGACACTACAGATGTAAGAATATTTCACAATATCATTGTTTTGACTGAATTTTGATTAAATAAATGCAGCCTTGGTGAGCATTAGACTTCTTTCAAAAAATAGTACTGACCCCAAACTTTTGAACGGTAGTGTAAATAAGTAGTAACTAGTGCTGTCAATCAATTTATGCTTTGATCTTGATATATGGGAATGCTAAGTGAGTCAAAGTGGCACGTGTAAGTGTGTGTGTACAGATGGACTCACTGTCTTTTGAGTCGTTTAAGGAGTCTTGTTTGACAGGGGTCGGATCGCTCCAGGATCGGTTGAAACTCTTCGCCCTGCGCTCTGCAAATGCTAGTGAAGTAGAGAGATGGTCACACGCACACACACGCGACGACCCATGATCCTCACAGACTGTGGGCTGCATCACATACACTCAAACACAACAACAACCACCAGCTACACACACACACATTTCTCATATACTTCAATGTCCATTCGTTCCATTGTCCTATGCTACACTTGAAACACACACAGAAGCAAAAAGGACGAATACTTGTCCTCAGTCGCATTACAGGTCACACTGACGCAAAACTGTCAATCATCCTTCATACAAATACACAAACATGCAGAATATACACATGCTAATAATCTACAGCACATCCACCATGCAATGCATCACATGTACAAACAAAAACACACACAAATGGAGCTCTGCAATCATTCATACCATACACTCACACATAGACTCACTTTGTGCTTTCATTCTTCTGCTGCCCACCATTCTTAAATGCTTCCGAAAATTCCTAGAAATTAGTAGAAGAGGAGTGAAAGAAAAAAAAAGAGTGGAAGAAAAGGAAATGAGAAGGTACATCAGGTCAACAAGACATTTTTCGGATAAAACAAGATAACAGCATGTTACAGCAAACTACATAAAAAAACCTTGTCTCATGTCTGTGCTTGAAAACACAAAAAGATTTCCCTTGGTTATTCAACAGCGCAAACATATTTTGAAGGCCATATGAAACCCAAGCGCTTATTTATTGCAGTACATCGCTAAATAATTCCACCGCAAAGGCCGTCAGAGACACCAGCAGACGTCCTTTCTTGTGTGCACTCATCTGCAGTAATGAACCAGCAAGTGTGTACTTTCTTTGAGCCATTTGTCCCACACTTCCAACATAACTACTCTACATGTCCATGACAACTGTAGACTTAATGACAAAAGCTGAAACACTAGTAAGGGGTGGAAGGTGACAGAGACAACGAGGGACGTGAAGAAATAACAATAAATTAGAAGACAGGAGTTCTTCGGTCAGAAACATACTCTACGCAAGTATGCAAATGCTGTTGTGAATGCTAAGCTAAGTCTTGCTGTACTTAGTTATAAAGTGTTTTTGGTCACACTTTATTTTAAGGTCCAATTCTCGCTATTAATTAACTATTAACTATGACTTTTGGCTCAATAGACTCCTAATTACTGCTTAGGAAGTTAGTTGTTAAGTTTAGGCACTGGGTAGGATTAAGGATGTAGAATATGGTCATGCAAAATATGTGCTTATAAGTAATAATAAATAGCCAATATACTAGTAATATGCATGCTAATAAGCAACTAGTTAATAGTGAGAATTGGTCCCTATACTAAGGTGTTACCGTGTTTTCTTGTGTTACTGTGGCGGTAGACAGAGTTACCTTCAACTGTTTGTGAAATCAAAATTTGAGTTTTGAGGCATTTAGTCCATGTGTGTTAGCTTTGAGGCTAGCTATAAAGTATGCTGGTATATTCCTAAATGTTGACAAAATAAATATGCATTAAAAATGTACAGTCTTTCTAGCTGCAGATTTCAAATTGTGCAATATGCCATTGAAATGAATGAGAATGCTAACAGAATGTTAGCTTTCTCCACAAAGTCATCGTTTTCAGTCACATGACTGGAGGGCAAAACATTCATAGGACTGCATCACAGGCAAGCATTTGAGTTTATGTACTAGTCTATACGTTGGGCCTTTTGGGCCTTGATTTAAACCAAAACAACACTCTTGGCAGGACTGCAGTGCTACACATGGTTAGCACACTGGGGAAGCAAATCCTCATTAGCCAGTGTATTGTGTTATGAAAATTTAATTTCGGAATTTTATTGAGTCTGTTTCAGTGTTTTTCTCCAACAAGTATCCTGTTTTGTCACATAATTACATTGTTGATCATGACTAATTGGAAGGGAAGTAATGAGGAGACAGGAAAAGAGAGGCTGAAACATGGGAGGAAGATAGAAAAAGCGCTTTGTTTACACATGTGACAGAGCTGTGCCCACCTTTGAGAGGAGGGCGATATGGAGAAATGTCCCTTTTCTGTCCGTCTTACGGCTTATTTACACCCACGTGCATTAGAGAGAGAGAGAGAGAGAGAGAAACCTCCCTCGCCCCCGCAGCTGAGGATGAGTCAGAGGCTTTTTTCATCCATAGTCTCTCTTTTCATTCTCTCACTCTTTCTGTCCAAGTCTGCAATCTTTGCTCCTCTATTGGCTCTTTAATTTCATCACCACCTCTCTCACGCTGTTAAATAATTGTAGTCCCTCAATCATGCCCTTTTCCTTTTTTAAAGGAATATTTCCTCATCTTTAAGTTGTTGCAAATGCATATGACTTTTTTATTTTGTTAATAATAAAATACAATATTTCACTATTTAAAGAAATAGTAAGATTTATTATAAATAAATAAATACATGCATACATACATATTTATGCATTTATAATAAATTTTATATTTATTATATTATTTTTATCCTAGGTGCTCTTCTACATGCTGTATAATGAAAGTTAACAGGGGCTGGGATGATCCAAAAAATGACAAAAAGCACCATAACTGTGCCATATAAAGTGGTCCTAGGGTATGAAATGGTTTTAAAATAACTGAAATATAGTGAGCAAATTGCCTGAATTACCTTTATAGTGCTTTTCATAACGTTTTTGGAACTTGACAGCTCCAGTCCCCATTCACTTTCATTGTATGGAAAAGAGCAGCCTGGATAAACTGTAAAGTATCTTTATCTGCATTCTACAAAGGAAAAAGTGTCATATGGGTTTGGAACGACATGGGGACGAGTAAATAATGACCAATTTCTATTTCAAGTGAACTATCCTATTAAGGGGAAGTTCAGTAGGGTTGAACAACTGTATGTGTTATTTCAGGCCACCTCAACTTTCAGCAATTACTCAGGTGTTTTTCCACACCACATTGTCTTTCCCCTACAGCAGCTGTGCACTGTGGGAGACATCTGGCTGGATGCTCCAGACTCCTGTCCAATATGACCTCTCCGGCTCCCAAATGTCCCCACCCACAGCAGCAACTCTGATTACATAATTGACTGCTTGCCTTTTCTTCCTCTCATTCAGATTCTCACTTTCTTCCTTTCACCTCTCTCTGTTTCATTATTTCTCCTTCCCATTCTCCTCCTGAATGTATGATTGCAGGGTATCATTTGCCTCATAGGGACTTTGACTTTCCAGCAACATATCACACCACCCCATCCAACAATACACTCCTGAATCATCTACTGCTACTGTGACCATCTGGTCCTGTTTCAATTACCCCTGATCCTTAGAGTGAGCTTTGAATGAAACATACTAGCAAAAAAAACAAAAGCCAAACAATCTATAAAAAAAACGACCTTATTGATTATATGAAGAATATGCTAAAAGATCAGATCAATATGCTTTATGATATCTGAACTATCATACAGTATATGCTACCCCTTTTCTTTTTTTCCTGTTTACACTCTTAAAAATAAAGGTGCTTCACAATGCCATAGAAGAACCTTTTTGTCTAAATGGTTCCATAAAGAACCTTTAACATCTGAAGAACCTTTCTGTTTGTCAAAAGGTTCTTTGTGGCAAAAGAAGGTTCTTCAGATTACAAAAAGGTAAGAAAGAGATGGTTCTTTAAAGAACCTTTGACTGAATGGTTCTTTGTGGAACCAAAAATGGTTCTTCTATGGCATCACTTGAAGAACCTTTTGAAGCACCTTTATTTTTAAGAGTGTAGGTGAGTAAAGCGGAGGCTTAGAAATTATATAATGTGTGTGCGTGTGTGGATGGGATAATAAATCTTATCAGCATTAAGCTCATCCAGTAGTTAAAACAGATTGGCTGAAAAGCAGGTAAGTGGGCATCTGCCAAATTATGATTACCGCTTACTGATTCAATCAACTGCTGATATAACCAGTTGGGAGAAGCTGCAATACGGTGTAGTTCAAACGCAAAGCAAATTTTAAAAAGGAATGAAAAACGAATAATTTTTTATTAATATTTCATATACCTCAAACATCAATTATCACTCTCAAAATACTTGTTATAAATTTATTTGCATTTTAACATGTTTTTCAGTAACCAAATTAGTATTACCACTATAATATGATATAACCAGCTGGCAAAGCTGCACTGTGATGTAGTTTAAAAAGCATTTGATTAATTTATTTGCATTTTAATGTTTATTAAAACATTAATGAACATTGCTGATGTTATTTAGCATTGGAAATGTCTAGAATTTCTTTTGCACTCCTGTTGATATCAGTTGGACCATTTTTCCTCCAAAAAACAAAAAAAAACTATTTCTGAGGTTGCAAACAATTGCAATTTTCCTCTCAACTTGCATAGTTCAGTCACGCCTTGGTTACACAACAGTAAGTTGGTTTGTGGCAGTGAGGCAAAAAGCAATTTCAAGATGTGTTGTAACCATGGAGGTAAGCCTTCGAATCTGAGTCTCAAATCAGCCCAACCACACAGCAAATTGAAGGCTAAACTGCTTAGGGTGGTTCATGTCTAAGAATAATGAACGTGCCAAGTCCTCAGACAAAATATCTATATTGATATGGATACATATCTCTTTGTTTTAGATAGAACGACAGCTATAGAGGTAGGTGTATAGACAGATAGAATGATAGAATGACACAACGATCGACAGATGTAGATCAAGTTTAGACAGATAGACAGACAGACTGTTGTGCCAGATAGGGCTGTACTGTCAAAGCTCTTCCTCTATATCTGACAGGAATAAAAGCAGAGATAAATGACAGGCCTGCAACAAAGTACCTCTGGATGATGGAGGCTGACTCCATCTCGTTTTTTCTCCTCTTTTTCTCTGCTAGACTGCGGAAAACCCTGGCAGGAGGTGACACAACTTTAATGCCAGCGAGGACGAGGGTGAGGGCTCACACAAGTGCGGTTAGAGGTTAGAGCCATGCTCATGAAGGGGCAATGTTAGGTTGATGTTAGGCAGGAGGAGTTCCATCCAGGTAAATAAAGGTTCAGCCCTAAGCAGAGCCTCGGACTGGATTGAACATTGAAGTATAAATGAACGGGACTTATGCCACTGGTGCAGAAGGAAAACCCTGGTGACACAACTTTAATGCCAGCAAGGACGAGGGTGAGGGCTCACACAAGTGCGGTTAGAGGTTAGAGCCATGCTCATGAAGGGGCAATGTTAGGCTGATGTTAGGCAGGAGGAGTTCCATCCAGGTAAATAAAGGTTCAGCCCTAAGCAGAGCCTCGGACTGGATTGAACATTGAAGTATAAATGAACGGGACTTATGCCACTGGTGCAGAAAATCGAAAGACCATTTATTTATCGTTGCTGTGTTGTTTTGCACTGGTAAGAGAATATCTTGACCTTCCTGATAACATAACCAACAATATCACCTACAGACTGAAATTCCTTCCACATTCTGAGACTCAATTTCTTCTTGCAATTAAATAAAATGTAAGTAAATAAATAAAACTGTTAAAAAAGACATTTCAGACACACCTGCAATTCAAAATGCTGTTCAAAATTATCTCGAGGGACACTTAACATTTCTAGCTAAACTCAACTCAAAAAATGATCGACATCAGCATCCGTCAGCATTTCTAAACCATCCAAGACAACTGTGTCTCCGGCTGAGGTAATCAGAATTATCCAGACCAGCCTATCAAATGTGTTTCTAACCCATTTCCTGAATCCAAATGCATCGGTGCATTTCACACCACTAAAGCAACATCATCAATCTTTCCCTCAGGTTTTCAAACCAAGCGCATTGTGATTCATTTATACATCAAGGTAAAATCATTTTCAGTTTCATCAACTTGACAGCGGTGAAACGGCGGTTTCCTCGGTTCATACACACAAGCCCTATTTAAAAAGGGACCAGTTACCCTGAGAAGATCCAATAAATGTTTGTTTCATAGACAGGTTTGTGCTCTTCCTCACACAACCTCAAATTACGAAGCAATTGCGAAAAAAATTACAGAGCAAATTAGGCTACCTCGGAGGTCCTTTGAGAAATCTAATCCCATCCGGATAGGAATGTTTGTGATTCTAGTCAATATTTTTTTCTCCTTCACTTCTTATTTATTTTAAACACTGTCAAATATTGTAAATAGAGCTAAATTACTGAGACTGGAGGGATGGCAGGGTAGGCAGTGCTGGGGAAGCTAGCGTTTGACATCACTCACTGTCATTTTGTGACATTTAAAGGGTACAAAAGGGATACTCACGAAATCCTGTAGAGCGGAGAGGTGAGGCAGACAAAAAAGAAGAGAGAAAGACAGACAGAAAGCTTAGATAACAACCATGTTTGAAGAAAGTGTGTGTGGTCATCGTGTACTTGTCAGCTCTCTGAGTCAGTTTGACAGTAAATGTCACTAAAATGAATGCGTGTTTGTAGCGAGACACCTTTTGTGCCAGCTGTACTTGAGGTCAATATAGGCTTCAAACTTCAGTGTGTTTATGTGTGTGATGAAGTGAGTACTCACGCCTGCATGGTTGTTGTAGCAGTCTGAAAGCTGAACATGTTTTCTTTAGGGAACCAACTGTTATCTTCTGGTTAGAAACAGACATAAGGGACCACATTAGTACAGCTGAAATGATATATCCAAATATATGAATTGCGTCAAACTGAACAAACATATACAGTGGCCCCAAAAAGTACTTGGACACATAGGCCACACTCCAAAATGTAGGAGTTTCATTGCAGAAGACAAAATAAATATCAAACCAAAACAGCACTCAAATGATACTAGTTTTACTATTCTTAACTATCTTTGCAATTACTTTTAACTGTATAATAATAACAGTAATAATTATATACATACATACATACACACACACACACACACACACACACACACACACACACACACACACACACATATTGTGTTAACAAATGTTTTGCATGAAAAGTGACCTTGTGCTATTTTTCAATAAAAATAAATGCCACTTGGATGATCATTTGTCATCTAATGACACATCTACATTTTTAAATACACTTTTGGGTTCAAAACAAGTTAAGCTCAGTTGCAAATATTGATTACTACAGAAAACATGTTAGCTTGTCTCTTAATTTTTCCTTTTGTTGTTTTAAAGAAAGCAAAAAACATGGTAAAATGAAGGTACATAGCAGGTAATAGTGCTAGTGAAATGTGAATCTGTAAAAATGTGTATTATTTGAGCGTCTACTATTCTAGACAAATGAGCTTCTCGTTATACATCAAAGATGCGTCTGTGTATGTGGGTAGTTGCCAGTACATCAACAGAGACATGTTGTCAGATGAAGGCATAACAGATGACTTTTATTTCTGTCTGGTTTTCAATTGTCAGAACTTTTGAATATATGCAAACAAGAAAGAGACGTTTATGTCTATCTGCAGATTAAAGACTACTGGAAAAACTACCTGCTTAGCTTGATGTTGAAAGGTTCTAACTTTACTAAAAGTTAGTAAACGATTCCATCACACCAGTCTAATTAATAATATTGAAGTACCATGGCTGTACTGTATGTGTGACTAAACTAAAAGCGTTTTATTCCCGTAGCTCAAACCATAGAGAATGGCAACGCTAAGGTCATGGGTTTTATTCCCAAGGAATGCATGAACTAATAGTCTCATGTTAACATCATGTTTAGTATAATCTTTAAATATAATTGCTGTACAACACCATTGGCTAAAATAAAAGCATTTTTAATTTACGTAGCTCAAGCAGTAGAGCAAAGTGGTAACAACACCAAGGTCATGGGTTCAATTCCCAAAGTATGTATGAACTGACAAAAATGTATATCTTAAATACAATAGATATTGGATGCAATTGGGAAAAAAGTATCTGCCATATGCACTTCAGGGCTCCATTTACTATCAGCAAGTGCCTCACTAACCACAATTTTTGCTTGTTTTTGAAGAAAAAAATCAGAATTATTTTCAGTGGTAATCAATATTATGCCAAAATGCTGTTGATTAAGCTTTACTTCTGAACCTGAATCATTCCATTAAGTGTAGTTCAAGTGTCCAAATACTTTCTGGGGCCACTGTGTGAAGATCCACCAGCAACAACATACACACATGGTCCACTCCACAGAGGGAGAGAGCACAAAAGAGACACACAGGAGAGAGGCGAGAGACACAGGAGAGCGGAAAATTACAGACCACGGCACATCGAACATCGACGCCCCTGTTGTTGGCTGAACCCCACCCCTTCCCCTCGGCCAGAGCCTCTCTCTCTTTCTCTCCCCTGTCGCTCTCCCCCTCTCACCTCGCTCCAGCCCAGTCATGCGGTCCACACTGCACATCCACTCTAGTGGTGGCCGGTGCTGCTTGCCTGCCTCTCGGGTGCTGCTTTCCAGGTCCAGGGAGCCCTGGCTGCGCGAGGGAGCCCCGGGACAGGCCTCACAAGCCAGGCCGCAGTCCTTTCCCTCCCCCCAGCCACGGATGTTGTGTGCACTGACCGAGCTCTGCAGAGGCTGGGAAAGGTGGTGGGGATGGGGCACCTCATGGTGATGGTGCGACGTCCCCGCACTGGAGATGTGCTGGTGGGGGTTTGTTCCTCCGCTGCTTCCACCTCCGCTGGTGTTGCTGTGATGGTGGTTGCCATGATGGTGGTTGCTGTGATGATGGTTTCCAGATCCACTTCCGCTTCCACTTCCATGGTGGCGGTGGTGGTGCTGGGTCGGAGAAGACGAGTTGGAGGACGTAGAGGGCTGGGCGAGCTCTTGGGCATGACACGCCTCCTGCGCCCCTTTCAAGACCTCGAGCTCCAGGTTCTCCTTGCTTCCCCGGCTGGTTCCCAGCATGCCGCTCTCTCCGGTGATGGTGTAGACCCGAGCAGGCTGCAGGGAACACTCCACGCACTTCTGCTGATCCTCCTCTGCCGAAAAGCTGCGCTCTAGGGACAGCCGACTCTTGGAGGAAGTTGCCGGAGGTGGCGGTTCCAGAAGGCCCAGGGCGGGATTGATCAAGCTGGGGTCGGCGCTGACGGCTGAGCCCTGGAGGGTGCAGCTGTGGAAGTTGTTGTTCTGAGTGCACAGGCTGTCTGGAGAGTCAGAGTCGTGGCCAACGAGGGTGTCAGACAGTAAGTGATCTTCAAATCAAACATTAGGACAGATGACAAGAGAAAGAGAGAGGACCAAGTGAGAAACAGCAAGAGATGCACAGAGAAAAAGACAGATGAGGTAACACACACTACATTAAGAAGTGGCACAGCTCCTCATGAAACATGAACGCGCCTTGAGAACATCACAGGCTCTAAGTGGACTGAAAAAAAGAAGAGCAGAAAGACAGAGGAGTGGAGATAACTGACCTGATCCGTTGCGGTTCTCAGGATGGGTGTGAAGGTACTCTCCAAATGCACGAGCTGCTCTGCAAAAAAACACACACGCATTCGTCATTGGCAGGCCCACACTGTGACTATAGTAATGGATGAAGGATAGTGTTAGGCATGACATGCTGTAAAGTCACAAGCAAATGACTTGGTTCTATTAATGAATCGTTCAAAAAGAATCACAAACCAGTTACAAGCTTGAATCAGTCTGACAAATCTTTCATCAAATTAACTCACTGAATCAGTCAGAGCAGTTACTGAATCAAAATCAGACTCACTGAAATGCAAGTTATTATTTCATTACTTTCAATGATGTCGATCTCGAAATTAAGCTTTGAGTACTTTTGAGTGCTTAAAGGGATAGTATACCCAAAAATGTCATCATTTACTCACCCTCATGATGTTCCAATCCTTTTGAAATACAAAAGAATATAATAATATTAATATTTTGAAGAATGCTGGTAGCCAAACAGTTTTTGTGCCCATTGACTACCAAGTGAATTGAAATATCCTCTTTTATGTTCCTCAGAAGAAAATCATGTGGGCGAGTGAATTTTGGCATGATTTAAATTTTTCAGTGAACTATCCCTTTAAGGTTTCTGAAAAGTCAGTTAGAATCATTACTGACTCATTGTTATAATGACAATGTATAGCTAAAAATATACATTTACGATAAATAATATTTTAATAATAAAAAAAACATTCACCATGTGAAATCCATTCTGCAGAATTCCACATTTTCTCCTAAAATCAGCTTAGTCATCAGGCTACAAAACCACAGAAGCGTCACACAGTGTAATCCAGCAGTGCACAATCCAGTGACCCTGTCAGCAGCTGATCGTATTTAACATTTACTGCAATCCTTTCATTACTAAAATCATGTTTTAATGAATCAAGCCCATCATGATGTCTCTCTTTCAAGAGAACATCAGAGCATTCAAGCAAGCATTAATGCAAACTTGCATTTTAAAACATGCATACATCTGCATTTTATACATTTAAACATTATATCACTATATTTATCATTTATTTTTGATTTAATTCTTATTTTCGTCAGGTTTTATGTGTTGCTAAAGCAATCAAAATGTAGTTTTCATGACCATGACCACGAGAGGCACTCACACTGACACTATTGAGAGTTTATTTGTTACTGTGCCTTTAAGACTTTTAAGTAAATAGACAGCACTTAAACTCTTTTATGTACAAAAGATCAAGTAAGATTTCTGATGATATGGCCCCCTTTAAATAACCATTTCCCCCACAAATGAACACGATAAAGCCCTTCTTGAAAAAGTCTAGATGGACGATGGTTCCTTATATGTCATTACCTCTTCCTGCTTCCGGATACGGCTGACAGTTTCTCTCACTTCTTTTTCAATTTGAGAAATGACAGGCCCAATGCGGACTACTCTTAGCCTCTTAATGTCACCTGCTAAGCTGACACCAGCCTCGGGTATAAAGGGCTTTCACAGGGATATGAGTAATGCTCTGCATGTGGCAGCTGCCTGCATCGGGAGGTTTGAAAGCCGGACTCCTCAAACTTAAGAATGTGGCTCGGCTTCTGCAGTGTGAAGGCTGAAATGAGGGGCAGGCATGTGGAAATGCATGTGACTGTGAAAAAGAGGGCATATGGCAGAAAGAAAGGTGGGAAAACAAGAGTGGGGAGAGGAAGGGAGAAAGATAGAGGAGGAGGAGGAGGAGGAACAGAGACACATGCACTGTGTAAATGTAATTGGTTGTTTTGAATTTCAGAGCCACCCACAGATTCAGATGTAGCGTTTTTATCTTTCCAGTCCAAGAGGAAGAATGTGGGAGAATTTGAGGGGTGAGAAAGGGACAAACAGAGACATGGAGGTAAGTAGAAATATGGATGTGAAAATATAAATATATAATAATTAAATGACTACATATATAATAAAAACAACTGTGGAATTAAGAAAAATTAAACATGACAGTCAGCATTTCTTTTGCCATTTTTAATCACTATTTTCAGTTATGAGGTCATAAAAAACTGCATGTATAAATAATGAAAAAATTATAAATCATAATAAAATAATGAAAAAAATAAGAAAAGAAAAAATTTAAAGTAGAAGAGTGTGTCATGCTGCAGGTCATGTAAACTAAAATGAAAACTGAAAATTAGTGTAGCATGTCACGCTGCAGGTCATGTCAACTAATATAATAAATGTAAAAATAATTTGAAAAGAAAAATAATTTAAAATGAGTAATATCGCTGCAAGTCATGTCAACTACTATAATAAAATAATAATAATTAAAAAATGTTTAAAATTAATATAGCATGCCATGCTGCAGGTAATGTCAACAACTATAATGAAATAAGAATTTTAAAATAATTTTAAAAAGAAAATATGTTTAACTGACAATAGCATGCCACGCTGCAAGTTGTGTCAACTACAGTACAATAAAATAAATATGGTTAAAAAGGAGTATAGCATGTCATGCTATAAATGTAGCCTACCTTTAATGTCTGCATGCGTTTCTCTCAAATATACAGAATATTATCTTCATTAGAACATGATAGCAGCTTTGAATTAAAGGCTCATGAATAACTAAAGCATACTAAAGCATCAAAGTAAGCACTAATTTGACACTTAATTCACAGGCAGCTATAAAGAGAGTGCGTCAGAGATGGAGAGACTGAGAAAACGCATAAAAACTGCGAAACGAACGTCACAACGCTTCCCACAGGAGATATTTGTCACCACTGGCTTATCGTAAACAGCAGGAATCAAAGAAACAGAAAGAGAAACACTAATTAGTTATGGCCTGAGGGGGTTTCATCAGTAACAATCGATAACACCGACTGAGAATTGTGGGAAATGATTTAGCCAATCAGAATAGACGATAAAGATTTGAATAAATAATGAAGCCAGTATAACCAAAGAGACTCTGGCGGTTCACATTTCATAAGTGCATATTGACGCCTCAATAATAAACGAACAACAGCTTATTTTGTTCTGCATACGGTGGCTTTGGCACTCTCAACTGTGTAAATCTCCGGGTGAGTCATTGCTTTTCGGGAAGCTGATTCAATCTTGTAGGAGACATGACGGATGAATCCTTAATACGCTTTGCCTGAACCCGTTTTCGCCACACAGACACATATTTGCAGGCACCAACATATGCTTTATACCTTTATTGTATCTAATGAACATGTTCTGCACAATATATGGCTACACATAATCACATCCATTCCCCACACACGGAAAACCCACTCCGAGCTCGATCGTTCCACAGGAATCCCTGGTGGCTTGCAGTCGCCCTCAGCTTTCCTGACGTAACGTTCAACAACATGACACTTGTTGTGACAGCGCTGTAAATTATTCAGTTTTACCATAACAGCTGATGTTGAACCAGGTCATTCTCGCCCGCTCTGTAACAAGCATCCTCCAATGCAAGAGGGTTAATTGGAATGCCTGTTAGGTCTGAAGAGCCACATACTTGACCTGAAGAGCTGGGGAATGCAGTAAGCATAGGAAGCTGACTACACAGGGAGCATCCTAACTGTCATGTAACCTAATAAATGAGAGATTAGGAACCCTCTAGATCAGGGATGGGCAACTTTGATAGTGATGAGGGCCAGCATTTTTTCTCCTTTATACCAAGGGGCCAGATTACTAATCCACGTCCACACACCTTTTACACCGTCTTACTCAATTTCCTTTTTATTGAAGGAAATTAAAGTGTAACTAATGTAATTTGTTTTTAAAATTTTACTAACTATAAAACTTGTGCAGTTATGCTAATTCAGAAGGAAAATTTTGTTATCAGTGGACAGAAATATTACCCCAACAAGCCAACGAGTAAACATCTCAATTGCATTGTCTGTAAATTTGCAACAAACAAATGTGTAACCGCAGTACACAAAAAGCTGACTGCAGTGCTCAAGTTTATTCAGTGAAATCGTAGCCTTTTGAAGTTTAATCGACATATTAATCCATATAGCAATTCTTGTCTTTACGTCCCCAAACACCTCTTATAATTTAAACTTTTTGTACCATTTCCATGGCCTTAAATGTAAACAATTTAACTGAAGACGTTTTAAGGACCCGCGGAAACCCTAATAAGAACACAGTGCAAACATTTTTGTCATGCATTTGCCAAAAAGCTTTTGTTGACTGTGAATTTTACCTTTGAAATTTGAGGCAAGTGCAACTCTGGCGTCCCCGTTGTTTGTGAGCAGTGGTGTGATGGCGATTTAAATAAAATACAGATTTCCAAACAATCCAAACATATGGGTATCCCCTTGAACTTAGTAAAAAGATAATCTGTTTACCATCTTGACTGAAAAATACTGTTTTCATTGTCAGTTTTTCATTCATTATTTGCTAATATTAGTGAAAGTTTACATTAGAGTGCACGTCCTACTACGCTGAAATTAATACGGGGAGCGGCTGGAAACTAGCGACCTCTCCTGGTTGGAGATAGTATTAACATCTTAAACTGCAAGCAATCTTTACGTGACTTGCTTTTCAAATGTTTTAAAATTGATCATCTGAGTCTAATATGATCCAGCGGGCCGTACTAAAAGACACTGCGGGCCGTATACCGTATGGGGGCCAGTTGCCCATCCCTGCTCTAGATAAATGACGCACCAAATTTAGACTGATTTGATGTTATTAAGCTGCTAAGCTAACAGTGTGATGCTTAAATAAGCATAAAAATATACATTTTACACATACTGGGAAAAATAATAAATTTTGAATTACTCAAAACTGTATTTTTATTTTTTGTTTACATTTTTATAATATATAGTATCATCGATACTATGCAATTTGAATGTTGGATTCTTTCACTGAGCTGTAAAATTAAAATAAACATTACACATTAACATTAAAATTAAAAATAAATAAATAAAAATAAATGTAAAATAAAATTCAAGGTAATTTCCATCTGTTCTAGAGCACTACATTTTTTACAATCAAATATCAATAAAATATTATAAATAATATAAAATAAAATATCAGAAGAAATAAAGGATAAAATAATACATTTTGAATTACACAAATCTTTTTTT